AGCCAAATGAGAGTTGCGTTTGAGACCGGCCATGACTCCAGCGATGATTGTGATAGCTCTGACAGCGAGAGAGTTGAAGACTTTTTTTGCACCAAGTGGGGAACGTTTAGAAGACGATGAAGAGCTCCGTCTTCACTACTTGGGTTCACAGCAGTTCTTTTCCACGTGGTTTGCCCAGACTCCTTTGAGATTCACAGTCAGTAAAGTAACTTCTTTCCTTACATGTATGGCACAAGGTGGGTGGAGTCGAATGCCGCGCAGCACATCCAATCTCTTCCGGTTCGATTTTTGCCACCCGGGAGCGTGAAAATGCTCTACTACGAGTATTGTCAGAGAGAGCCGCACAGCGAAGTGTCGTGGACCAGTTGCGTTTAAGATGTGTGCTTGTGATGAATTGTTTTTGCACCTTATGTGATGACTGAGTTACGCCACCTTTTGGCGGCGTTATTCAACTTGCTGGCGAAACACGCTACGATTTTTACCACCCAGCACGCACGCAACGTGCGACACATGCTTAGACATGAAGGAGGCCTTTAAAGCAGCACGCGACTCTCGCCTATTGTTTCATGCAGTCAATGCCATGTTTAATGCGCGGTAATCTCTTTCTCTTCAGCCCCAGGATTCACAATCCAGGTTCGACACTGCGAGAGATTACAAATTGCACTTACAAGAAGTCTCACAGGACAGGAAGCTAGAGGAATATCTCCAGGCCAGGTTGACATGTTGCCAATTATTGAGTTTATGATCAGGGTTGTTGGGTTGTGGGGTCGAAGAATGTCTCTGGCAGGGACAGTCGCCATTGCAAAACGACAACGATATATTGAGTTTTGTATGGGAGATTTGGCTGCACGATTGTGTATGGGTTGTTCTGCTTCGATGGGTTGTTTTATGCTGTATTTTGCATAAGGATGGGATGGACCAGTCCAAATGGTGCCTGCCCAGAGACCGTATAGTACAATCCTCAAAGGAAGGATCCGTCTTTCAGCGCCCCAGGATGAAAGTGCATGGTGTTTGGAACCATGGCGTGTCCCTCAACCTTTTCCTGATCCACCCTGGCGTAGCTGCTGACAGCTCTTTGGTCATCGAAACATTCCAAAGGGTACTACAAGACACCGTCCAGACCTTCGAAAAATGTGGCCGCCCACTCCCAAGCGCATGCTGCATATGGGTTCCTTGGAACGTCCATTCGTCTGATAGCTGCGCCTGTGTCTTTCATTGTCTTTTGGTAGATTGTGAGCGCTCAGGCTGACAACACAGTTCGCGAAAACAAGAACAACCCGTGCCTGAAACATCTAGCCGCACTAGTTGGACGAGCAAAAATGCGATTCGCTGGGTATTTCTTCGGAAAGGTGGGCCACACCCACGGAGCATTAGGTTCTTGGAATATATATTAACGCATGGCAATGATTTGTGTATGTTTGTGTTGTACGATCCACAGTTCAGGCCTAAGCCCCTCAGCCTGCCTTCACTAAGACCAAGTCTATGGTCTATTAGCAAAGTCTTTCAGATATGTGGACTTGCTCTGTGACCCAATGGATGTGGTGTCGATTCCTGCCAGCAACAGTTCTGATGTTACCAAACAACGCCAAACAGCTTAGACCTCGGGGATAGAATTTGGTGAACCCAAGGAAGCTCAAGAAGATCTTGGACAGAATCAACATCAGACAATGGATTGGGCCCACAGCATCCATTAATGTCCAGTACTTGACATCTTGCCGTGATTGGAAGGGATGGTCCCTCAGCTCAACCTGTAGTGTTTGTGCAAACCCCCGTCCACGACAGCCCTCTCAGCCGCTCTCTTTTGCTCTGTCTTGATGAGGTATGAGCAGGTTCCGGTGACGTACAAGGGAGGCCTCAAAACGGATTCAACGGGTCTTCATGGGTTTTTATTCCTCGCCAGGAGAGGCAGGGGAACATGTATTGATATGTAATGATGACCTCGTGGTGATATGTAATGACTAGTGAGCTAATTTGCTGGCTAATGCCCTGCAGATGTCCCTCGGAATCTGCGAATCGAGTCTGACGACAAAAGGGGTGCTCTTCAATCGCATGAAATGGATGTAATTTGCATGGTGAAGAAGAATGCTGCTGATGATGGCCTAGCACAGGACACTGCACTGTAGATCTCTCACGCTACTCTGTTTTGCACTGAACTTAGTGACTTGCAGCAAACCAAATGCAATCAGGAAGCTTTGCTGGCGATGCCCTATCAGCTGATGGACCGGATTCTCCATGGAGGGCCGACAGTGCCCAGACCTTTGCGTCCAGTGAAGAGGGTGAAACTTCAAGAATATTTAGATCTTGCCAAAGTCTTAGTTACACGCTTCCCTCGGGATTCCAGCGGAAGAGCAGCGGAATTCTTGGTGGATTTGGCCCGGAACCATGACCCAGGCCCATTGGTTCCCTTACCATGGTTTGAAAGTTTGGGGGATCGGGATGAGATTGTCTTGGGAAACCCAACAGTCCTTGCCCGAGTGGCTCCAACAATGAGATTCCAAGCGGAGTTTCAGTTGCCTCGCCGTGGGTAAATCTTTGTTGAGTGGAAAAAGGTTGGACCACACTGTCACTGAAAGCAAGATGAAGCACTTGGCACCAAAGTCCCAGTGACAGGATTTGTCAGTCAGAATCTTCAACACCTTGGAAGGTTCACAGCCTTTTCCGAGGGGGGGTCCTCAGTAACGCATGTCGCATCCTGCCCGTGGAAATGACAAGATCAGGCCAGGACTGGTCCCTTCCGACAAATGGATTTTGTTGGGATACGCTCACCACCCACTGGCAGGCGGCAGAACGCTCAGGCTCCAACCTTATTGCAGTGTTCCAATGCCTCTCACAAACATCCAAACGACACTTGTCTTTCAGGACCCGATCGTCAGCTTTGAGGACTACCAATCTCAGGTGTATGTGATCGATGACTCATTCCCTGACACTTTCCGTGATACACAGGCCAAGGCTCACTCGTACACAGGGCTAATGACTTCACCCAGAATGACCGCCAGGTTGACACCCCGGAGCTCTTTCCTACTATCTCAAGTGCACATGAAACAGAAGAACAGGTGGGGCGCTCACGACTTCCCTCCTCTAAGAGTGTTCCTGTTGGGCTCCTAACTTGCACCAGGTCAGCATCGACTTCGACTCCGTCGTCGTATTGGATCAGCTGAGCTCTTCAGAGGCTAGAATATATAGTTTGCAACAGAGTTATTCAACATAGTTTGCAGTTCACGCGAGTTGAACATAATTGAACCATATTGAACCTATTCTCGAGCGCCAGGACAATGCTATGTCCCACAAGGTCAAACACTCAGCCGGCCTGATTGCAAGTCATCGTTGCATAGTAGCACTGCGCCTCGCCGCATAGCAAGCCAGCTCAAGTAAAAGCTAAGTATTGTTTTAGAGGGTCCAGTGAAAGGTTTTAGGCAGCTTGCTGTCAGGCTGGTGGAAAGAAAAGGCATCTCTTGGATGAGGCCTATATAATATGTCTTACTCGTCGCTTTTGTTGCCTAACAACATTGTGAAATGATTGGAAAATGAAAGTGAACCAAGAGCGTTGACACCAAATACCATTGGACTAGCCTGTAACTTGTGTCTGTGAACCTGCTTCGTTGCGCAGGACAGCAATGGATCGAAGCGCTTCCGTCAGGAAGGCTGAGTCGACCGCTTGATATGCAATTCAAATTAAATAGGTTCAGTCCACTCTGGGCTAAGTAAATACTTGGGGAGGAGGGATCTCTCATTGAGTGATTGCACTCACTGAATTGAAAGGAAAATGACGCAACCCAGCTTTGTGAAGCATGATTCTCAGCATGCTGCGGTTCACCTGCTACATTGAGTTAACCTTTATCTTTCTCTGTTGTGCAGGCCCGAACCGGTAGTTTTCAGGGTGGCCAGGTATTCCTAATGCCATGTCTCAAGCTCAAAGATGCTGTTCGTGCACTTACCAAGAAGAGTGACGATTTGAGGACTGGATACTAGTTTAATGCGATGCAGCATGACACCTTGTTTTTTGAAGGCAATCAAACTTTGGACATTGAAGGACAAATGGGGGTACTCCTACTATTAGGAAGACACACTTGAAAAGGCACTGACTGACTGACGAGTTTTGTTACTCTTGAGTCTTGAGCTTCTTACTGTAAATCAGTGACCTCTAACTGGCTACTTCTCTTGATGCAGGCAACCCAAGGAAAAGTACTACCCGAAGACCACAGTGCCGGCCCCTGGGCCTTCACACCCGGCTGGCTTTGCCTCTTTAAGTGAAGCTTTTTCTTGGCCGGATTTGTTCCTGAAGCGCTTGGGGCAGCGACTGGGTAACGAGTTTTTGGCTAAGCGTTTGTGGACCTGGTCGTGGACTTTTTCATCTGCATTTAGTGGGATTGGTGCTCCAGAATCAGCCCGGGTCTAAGTCCCTTAAAAAGTCTTCCACACTGACTGCCTAAAGTTCTCTTTAAATTGAATGGCGACTCCCACGCTTCAACATGTGTTGAACGGCAAGCTGTCAGGCAGTGATGAGCCTGCAGTCGGCGGCCAAACACTTTCTGGCCGTTCATTTGCCTCAGAAAGAGCCAAGGGCAGTTCCACATGTCTTGCATGAATTCACTTGTGAGATTGATCCTAGCTGCCAAAAGGTTCTATGTCAGGCTTATGGTAGTCCTTGCAATGTGGCGGACATCACCAAGTTCGATTCAACCGCAGAGAAGCAGTATTGCACGACACACTCCAAATATTGCAGAGTCAGAAAGCACCACTTGAAGAAAAAAAGACTCTTCGAATCATAATCAATTATCTATTTGTTTTGGGGGTTGCTTTGGATGCTAGGTTCAATATCAACTGAGTCCACCTCACCTCAACGGCCCAAGGAATCCACGTCAATGTGGCAGGAACTGGCCTCAGTGACAAAGCTTGTGCCAAAGCTTCAGGTAATTTGTCCTTCATGTCGTTTGTCCTTCATGTCAATTGACGGTGGCCGCAAACAACTGTGAGGACCGGTTTGTGTGAGCTTCAGCAAAATGGGTAAGCAACGCCGTCAAGCTGACCCAGTGTTTTCCACCCACCGGGCATTCTACAAGGAGATCCCCAGAACGGCAGATGTCATGTTGGTGGAGAATGTTCCGGAGTATGGGACTGAAGTAGCTCGTGACCATCTACCCAAACACTGGGACTTCCGAAGCGTGACTATCGACCCAAGACATCTAGGTGTACCTGCTGGGAGAACACGCATCTGGATTTTGGCATGGGATACCAAAAGGGTCCAGTGGCGCGAGGGAGGCATTTCCATCGAAGAGGTCATGCACATACTGGGTGCCAGGGCTGTTGGAAAGGCTGGCGATTTCTTCTGGAGGAAGTTGCCCGCAGCAGTCTTGACTCATGCCCAGGTACCCCAGCTCAGTCAAGTAATTTGAGGGTTGAGAACAATTATGGAACCCAGTCCCAGTCTCTCTTGATTTGTTTGGCTTTCTTCTCAGGCACGCAATCTAAGCGATTATGAGAAGCTCAAGGGCTGGGTGCAATATCCGGACCTTACCCAGTACTGTGCCAACGAGCGGGGACGGGGTGAACTGCAAGATGGGTCCCTCCAGACGCTGACAACCAACAGCTCACTCATATACTCCAAGGATGGGTCCTGTGAGTTTGATTTCCTTTCAAGTTTTGTTTCTCACTCCACCTCACTGAGTAGCAAACCAATCTCGACCAACTGCGTCGCCAGGCACACAAAAGGTTCCTGTCCGCGCAAGAGATGGTCGCAACGCACATATTGCCGACTTGCTCCGAGCATGCCAGGAAATGTAAGGCTCCAATCGTGGAGCTTGAACATATGCCGGAAAGTCATGCTTGCCGAATGGCAGGCAACACAATGTCAGTTCCTTGTGTGGCGGCTCTTTTGTTGACCGCCATTATCAACTTAAAGTTGGTCTGAAGTGAAATTCAATAGATGAACCATGCACTCAAGAATGATTGTTTGTTTGGTAATTGGCCTTGAGGCTTGACGTGTAAATGAACGTGTGACATGCCAAAACATGAGACCGCCCTGCTTTATTGCCAGCTACTGGTAGACTAAGAGCTTGCTGAAACTGAAACTGCTCTAATTGCAAAGTATTGAATTGAACAATGAGAAGTGAACAATTACTTTTTGATGTCTTGTTCAAGGAGTTTGGATGAGAGGCCATCCCGGCCGCCAGTCCTGTAGCTCCACCGATGGGCAAAAGGCCCTGTGCTTCAGCCTCGGCTGACCAGAAATCCTCGAAAGAACTTAAAGCAAGTAGTCCATGGGCCGGGAAAATCTACAATGATGCGAAGAAACTAGGCTGAAGGTGGGGAGGATGAACCCTTGGTTACCAGTCATCTTCAAAGGGGTTTGGGTGAACAGGTTTCCGACATCCCGTTTCAAATGAACTTGATGCCTTCGCCTTCAGGAACACCGTTGTCGGGGAGGATCCACATCCAGTGGAATGGCTACTGGATGCTTGGAAACAGGACCTCCTGGAACCCATGCTGACGTGGCTTCAGGAACAAGACTCCAGCTTTCCAGATCCCAGACGTTTCAAATTTCCAGCTCTTTGGCAGTCGTAGAGTCTGAGTGGCCAACTTAAGTAAGCCTACGATGTACAGAAACTTAGTTGAACGACTTCTGTCTGAGGCTGCAAGCGATGAGCTCGTCAGCATTCCTTTGTTGGCGTTTCTCTACACGCGTCCCGTGGACGGCTTGCCTCTTCTTCACAGCTGGCTAGCTACAGGGAAAGACATTTGGTTTCGGGGGTATGAATCGTGGAGAGAGATTGTCGAAGTACAACCAGCTGCTGAAAGCGACCCGGATACACCCTACAGTTTTGGTTCGGTGGGCCTTGTCAAAGGAATGGGCAGAATCTCTATGCTGCTATTTGGCCTCCTCTGGACCTACTTGAAACTCCGAGACAGCATGACTGAAGAGATGCAAATTGACTTCATAAGGCACTCCCCGGCACTCCCCCTGATCAAAAGGGTCGCCCTGGGGAGTCTCAGATTTCACAACCTCTCAGGGTGATGGTTTCACTGAAACCGTCGTCCTGGAACAGGGTTCCCAAGTACAAAACTGTGTTCCCAAAGTATCAAACTTATTCCCCAAAGTATCAACAGTGCATCCCAAAGTATCAAACTTGAACCCCATAGTATCAAACGTGGACCCCATAGTATCACACCAGGCCCCAAAGCATCAGGTCCAGGGTGATGGTTTCACCGAAACCGTCGTCCTGGCAGGTCCTCAGTTTGCGACCCCCTCAGGGTGACCCTTTTGATGTTTGGGATGCTCTGGGGTCCCTGGCACGCTCCTGGGCAGGTGGTTGGATTCCGTCAAGTTCATCAAGTCGAAGTTCATAGTTGCCTCACATAGCGACTGCTTGTGGAGGAGGCTGGCGGTGCATGAGCAGCAATCTGAGCGGGAGAAAAAGAATATCCTACAGAAGGTTCTCATATTCAAGTCAAGGGCGACAGAGATCATGGCGAAGGACTAGCTTCAAGGGATCTAGCTGGTTCACGAGTTTCAATAAGCTCACCGACATGTAAATCCCAGCAGGTTGCCATGTTTGATCATGCTTGAACCCCCTGGTCAAGGAGCCTGCAGAATTTGGTGGCAAAGTGAAAGAAGCCTTCTTCAAAGCCATCAGTGAGTACAACTCTTACGAGATGATTGCACACTCAAAGCGTTTTCAAATCGATTCCAACGCGGCGTTCTACTTGTATGGCTTTTGCGAAGCTTGCCTAGTATTTACAGTAAAGTTCAATGTTTTCATTTGATCCCGTTCCCTTTACCCCTGGCCCTCCCTTTCTGTCTTAGGGCTCACCTTCTTCAAACCAATCCGTTGAACTCGAAGCCTGCTGAAGCAAGGCTGGCGTTGGCAATGACTCCTGGGAGCTGATCGAGCAGCACTTGCACATGTACAAATTTGAGCATTCAGGCTTGAGAGTGGAGGTAGTGGGTTCAGGCTTATGATATCTTATTTATATAATAAATAATAAGTTAAACGGCTGTACTACATGGAAACCAACCATACTTTGAACATCATCCTAGTCATGCGGCTAGAAAGGCATGTTTCTACATGATTGCTCCGGCCCTGCAGCCTTCACAAACCAGTTGCTCCTGGACATTCGCTGGTTGGTTGGTGGGATGAGCCGGGACCCAAATTCCAAGAAGAGTCACATCTGGACCGAGCTGCTCCGGGTCACCCCTGAAAAGCAATGTGTCTTTGTACAACGGGTCCTGTTTTTGCACGATCTTGCAAGCCGCCGCGGAGCGCGATCAGCATCATCGAGGTTGAACATACAAGAGTGGGGGATTGAATGTGAGCGGATGATTTTCCTCAGTTCCATGGTGCTGCACATGTCAGTAGTCACTGATGATCACGGGGGCCGCATCTTTTCTGATGAAGTTGTGCGCTCCATTGTACTGCGCTGCGTTGAGGGGTGGCTCGGAACGTTTAACTTGTTTTTTCTTTGAAGTCATAATGTTTGATAACCAAAAAAGCGCTACTTAGATGAGTTCTTAGGTGTCTTTTTGTACCTTCCACCGGGCGGGGTCACAATGTAAGGGACTACAACTCTGAAGCAGAGGACTACTTGACTTGCATGGACCCACACTTCAAGATAGAAGACACGAGCATGTGGAAAGAGCATGCACCAAAGCCCACAGAGACCGTGGCCACCAAAGTGGCGGCAGCGGATTCAGAGGTCGACAACCTCACAAAGGAGTCTCGCAAAGCTCAGTTTGATGCAGACTGCATTGCTTTAGCCAGGGATTGTGCACAAATTGGACAGCTTGTCAAGGAAGTGAACAAGTGCGATCAAACTGCTCGGACAGAGCGTGTCCTACACTTGCGGCACCAGAATACCATCGGAGCTGGGTTGGTTTCGGAATATATGGCCACCAACATGGCTCTTGGCAGCGGCAGCGTGAAGGACCAGCAATCCTTGATGGACAGGGCCCGGTGTTTGGGGAAAACTCGGTTATACAGTTTGTTTGCAATCAAATGTATACCTGACTTGGCATGTTTAAACCTTGTGCCCTGCAGTTCCTGTCAAGATTTCCGGACACACCCACCATCATCTATGCTGATCTGATGAAATGCGGAAGATGCAGCAATCAAGAGCTGAACGAATTTTCAGAATTGCTCAGCGCTGGTTTGGCCAAACGGCCCCATGCATCAGTGGCAATTGTGGTGGCTCCATGGCTATGCTCCGAGAAGGTGTGTAATGGCTACAGAGGAGAGTTGAGGCCAGGTTTGCAAAAAATGGTTGCTTTCAACGAAACATTTAAGCTCGATAAGTTACTTTCAACATTTAACTTTTAAGTTCCCTAGAAGTTACTTTTAAGTTCAACATTTTACTTTTAAGTTACTTTCAACATTTTTCTCCAACGTCGGTCCAACGCTACACATGCCTGCTCAGACGCTGGGAAGACAAATTTGATGCCCGTGGCCTCTACTCGGAGTCAATGGCGGTGAGGTGCCAGCAGCCACCCCGCGCACGGAAAGTTCCACTATACTTTAATGGCTGGTTGCTGTTCGATGATTCCTGTGTCAAAAGTGAGGATGGCAACTGGTTCTTGGCTTGCCAACTTTTGCAAGACAGGACTGGTGCAATCTTGAACAGTTTTGTGACAGGTTTCTCTGTCAAGAAAAAACACCCACTGTATGGTAGACTGACACTCATTCATTAATTAATTAATTCAGTCATTCATTCATTCATTCATTCTTTCATTCATCATTAACGTTCATGACAGAGTTTATCCCGTCTCCCACATGCAGCCCACAGTCCTTGGTCAGGGCGACAAGAGCGGAGTGTCCCTGGCAAGCGGAAGCATCGTACATTGTCCCAGTGGCAAGCAAGGATGCCATTCCGCATGCGTCAGAGGGACATAGGCAAGGGTGACTCTCAAAATCATGTGATATCCTGTGACTGTTTTGAACATTCAATACCGCAAGTCATGAGTCAACTTAGGAGTAGAATTACAGCTTATTCCAAAAGAACGTTCTTCGCCTGATGGTCCAGGAGTCTATCAGATGTCCAAGAAAGTGCTCAGTTTTTGGTGCAAGATGTGATGGTGCGAAGCTTGCTAGAGTCTGTTTTGGCACGAGCTCAGATCCCTGAGAACACCAATACGATTGCGTTGGTGAATCTGACACCGTACGATGGGATGGTGGAACGTGCAACCAGGAAGTGGAAGGAGATTTCAGTTGATTCACCTTTCCATTTCAAGACCCTGAGCCTCACCAAAAACTTGGGCATCTGCGAGTTTGTCGAGAAGGCACTAGCTCTTGAGCTGATGGAGGACAGGGGGTCTATACCACAACGTGCTAAACTTGATTGAAATTTCTTTGAAGGGTTCATCTGACTGTTTGAAGGGTTCATCTGTGGATCACAAACCTTGCAACTGCTACTGTCCTAGGAGTGGAAGAGCGGATCGCCTACCTTTGGGAAGTGCAGACCCTATGAGCCTAGGCCACCACCAACTCCTGCAAATCAGAAGATCGATCTGGCCAATTTCCCGGTCCGCCTTGTGAAGATTGAGTATGACTTGGCACCTGGGAAGAAGGGGTGGCAGCAGTACAAGGTATCAATCCCCCCAGCCGTCAGGGGTAGATATGTGGACGACATCGTGTACCGCAATGAATGGGCAGAACTCCTCAAAGACTTTGACAAGCAGTTCTTTGGTCTGTAAGAGCCTTTCAATGCCTTTCACCTTCAACTTTTTTACTCGATGCGTCGTTCCATGGTCAAACTGTTAAACAGTTTTCAAAAGCACTTCAACTCACCGCCCCAAGCCCAATCATGCCCATTCATGCCCCATGCCTCTCCATCAGGTTTGGAGTGGCTGCAGGTCCCGAAGAGGCCTTGGTTCCAGCACCATCGGAACCGGAGAGTGAACCGCTTCCCCCATGGACCGAG